TTTGGATGAGAGTAGGTGGCAAGCTTCTTAGATCTTCAGATCACACAAGACAGGGAGGGACAGCTAATAGATTGGATGACAGAATCAAGATTCAGAAAGATGTCAACAGCCTGGAGCAAGGGACTGGAACTAAACAGATGAAGTGTAATAGGGATCAATGCAGAGCTTTGCTCTCTGGCAAGTGCCCAAGTACAGGAGGAGGGAGGTAGGAGAAAGGCCAAGGGTCTTTGCTGACAGCAAGTTCAAAGTGGATCAGCAGAGTGACAGAGCTGGTCAGATAATTCAACCATGCGAGGAAAGCAAAAGCAAAAGCAAAAGTGAATCTTCTAGAATTAAAGACAGAATTGCTCCCAGGCTTCATCCTTTAACTCACTCAGTTGTTCAAAGGGCATGTTGAACGCATAAAGGTGTCTAAGGCCCCTCTACGGTAGGAGCAAGGCTTACTCAGGTTGAGGAGTCTCAGTCTAGTGGGTGAGAGAGACAACAAATGACTAAAATATATTATCTATTACATTATTATCACTATTATTATTACAGGTTATCTGTTGTAATGGAGAAGGATGCTATGGGAAACACAGAAAAAGCCTGGAACAGAGAGTGGGGTTGGAGTGGGTAAAGAAAAGGCTAAATTAAAAAAGCAGGTGAGAAGGACAGGTGAGAGTTGTCCAGGCCACAAGGGGCGGTTGAGCATTCCAGGCAAAGGGAATGGCATGTGATGTACAAAGGCCTGTAGGGCCGAGATGCCCTCACGTAGTTGGGAAGAGCAAGACATTGACTACGGAGGGGAGGAGTGAGAGGATGGAGAGGAAGGGTCCAGATTCCCAAGGCCCCATGTGCTAGAGGAAAGAGATGAATTTTACCCTGGAGAGGATACAGATACTAGGCAGGCATGAGGCCAGAGGGCGACAGGATAAGACTGGTATGTGGACACCTCTGTATGGCATGTGGGAAATTGTGGGGGGAAACAGAACTGGAAGCCGGGCAGACCAGTTAAGTGTGCAGCAGCTTTTGGAGAGAGAATTTAGACCTGAACCAAAACAGTAGTGAGTGTGTATAGAGGGTGGATTTAAGAGATATTTAGGAAGTAGAACTTACAGGGCTGAGTGAGAGAAAGGATGTGTTGCCTGAGGAAGGAGGGAAGAGTCCTAGGTGACTCCAGAGAATCTGCCTGGTGTCATTTAATGAGATGAAGAATTAAAATGGGAACTGATTTGGGGCAGGGATCTAGAGATAAGGAATTTAGTTGTGGACATTGTGTTTGAGAGGCCCGTGGCACAGCCGGGTGTGTTCAGGAGGCATCTGGAGTTGAGGGTCGGGACCTCAGCAGGTGAAGTAGGACCAGCAAGGTAGCTTCTTGCCACTTGCACCCTTTCTGTCTTACAAGTCCCATGCCTGCAGAAGGTTGCCTTCCCAACTGCTGCTCTCGACAGCGTCTGATGAAGGGCAGGTACTCCCAGTATGGAATCCCCAATAGTACTGTCATGTAGTTGTCAGCAAAGACAACGAGGTCCCCTTGAATTATGTGCCCAGAAAAATTTTTTTTTCTTTTTTAAGCTGAATAGTAGCAATGACCTCTCTGGAGAATCAGAAGGAAAAGGGTGACAATGAACATATGCTATGGTTTACGTCAGGTCTGTTAACTAGCTCCTGCTTCCCCTTCTCTAAAAGCTGAGTCTTTCTGATATTCTAAGTAGCATGTATTTTAGCATATATTTAAATGCCTGGGTTGAGGCATTTAAAAGAAAATGTAAATCTGAGTCAGACCTCTATGGAGGGAAAAAAACCAACAGCTAGAAGGGAAGCTGAGGTAACATTATTGCTGATTTGGCCACAGCATGATGATGCTTCTTCATACCTGACACCCCAAGATATCATTTCGTGTATGACAGGTGCCCATTCTTGTCAATTGTCCCTGCTGGGCAAGTGATGGGAGCAAAATGTCAGTTGGCAAAAGGGCTGTGAATAATCACTACAAACTTACAAGGAGGCATTTCAGAAACTTCCTCAGCAGAGTTCACATGAAAGGCTAATTGGCAGGGACCTGGCTTCCTGGAAGGCACCTTGCATTCAGGTGTTCAGTTCTGTCAAATGCTTTGAAGGGAACAAACACAGTCTCCTAGCTCTCAAGCCACTACAAAATTGTTCTTTATATTGAAAATAGGTTGATGTGAGTTCTGTCTCTAGCGTAACGCAGGAGAGGACACAGTTCCTTGTACATTTCTAGTTGGCTTAACCAAAAGAATACCATCTCTTTGTCAACCCATTTTGGCCTCTCTTTTCACATGAGTCTGGTTTCCCCCATCCAAGATTTTGCCCCAGGTTCTCGGAGGAGAGGCTCAGAGTGTAACCTCGTGGAGGGGATGGGGGCTGCAACATGGATGACGGAGCAAGCCAACAGTTTTCAAACTTGGTTCACCAGAACATCATCCTGGCCAATACACTTGGGAAAACCTCTCCCTGTGTTGTAGAGTCACGATAGAAAATGTCTGACAAGTCCTGCAGTGAAGAAACCTTCTTAAATTTGTTTTAGAAGTTCCAAAACTCATTCTTCATAGATTTTATTTTCATGTCTATTAACATCCCTGTGAACTGTGGTTATTTGTAATCTATTTTAGGAAATGCTGTTACAGGCACATAATGAGGGTAGGCTACATAGCATTGTTTTTCCCCCTCTCTATTGGGGTCAAGCAGAGCCCCCTTTTTCCTGACCTTTGTTATTTAACACAGTTCTAGAATGTCTGGGTCCATTGAACTGCCTTAGTTCATAGAGTTAAAGGGGAAAAATGTATCTTAAGGTAATGACTGAGAATCTCACACGACCTTGGGGCCATTGCTGTGATTTCCATATGACTGGCACTCTCTGGAGCAGAGGCTGGAGATGGACAAGGTAGAGGACACTGAGTCCAAAGCAAGCTCAGGAATGCTCCTGGGACCTAACGTACTTGCTGACACGTGCTTATTTTCTTTCTCTTGCCTGCTGCCCCTAACAGTGATTTGCCGGAAAAGAAAGATCATTCTAGAGGCTTGAAGGCCCTAAAGAAGTGGTTGTTGAGTTTATAAAGAAAAGGCACAGGAGTTCCATGTGTCCAGAGGCAGTGGACTCATGGACAGAGTCATGAGCTGTCTCCTGTGTCCCAAGCGGGGATGGGAGGCATTTCCAGTCACTGTTTGGTGCCTTTTGGCCCAACTGACACTTTAAATGAATCCCAGAAGTTGAGCTGACTCTAATCTAACTTTTAGCCTGTCCCCTCTCTAGCTTTCTCCTGTGAAAGGGGGCGCAGTCATCCCTGGGAGGCCCTCACAAGCTTTTGCTATCAGCCCCAGGCTACACTTCACATGAGGCTATGGTACGGAGAATTTGCCCCTATCTGCACTCCTGCTTCTGTTCCTCACTGTGTGCGCTCAGGCAGTCTTACTGTTCCCATTTAGCACGTCCAGTGAACACTGCTTGAAGGGCAGACTTACATGCCTTCTGTTTTACATGCTAGGTCGGGGACACGTACCCAAGGCCTAATCCCACAACGCAATCCGGTCAAGGAGGCATAACCACTTCAGATAAAGCCCGTTCAAACATACCAGCTCTCCTGCCGACTTTGACCTTGATTCCATCAACTCTTAATGTTCTTGCCTGTAGTCTCTACTAGGACTTTATCAACAGGTTTTGATTTTATAACACTAGGTAGGAGAAGGATTCCCCAGACAGGCCGTGTATCCATTTCCATTAAACAGCCAGGTAAAAAAGACACAACGTTTTTACATAAAGCCTGCTCCAGCATTCCAACTTTCAGTCTTATCAACGCTGATATTTTTTCTCTCAATCTCATTGCAGCCTGAGTCAGGGCTTTACCCATGGGTTCTGGTACCACAGTTCCTTGATACACAAGAAACTTCTCTTTTCCACCTTCTCATCATTTTAACTACTTCTGTGCAAAAAACTTCGGGTCCCCAGCCAGGGGTGGAGCCAAGGGACCCTGGCCATTTTGTTACTCTTTAACTTGATGAATTTGCCTAGCCATTGCTACAATCGATTGCTGGACAGGTTTCTGGTTATAATCTCTGCCTTCCTGCTTTCTAAATTCCTCCAAACTGGGATAAATGGAATGAACTTGTTTGCAGCCCTTTAACATTGGGGGATCAGCACAGAATCCCTTTATCCCACCCAACCTTTGGTAGTGCTATATTAAAACCTTCGTTTTAACCCCATCAATGTCCATTTTATTCATCCTGTTTCTTAATAACCATCTAAAGCATTCCACCCTGCTGGAAAGAGTCCCGTGGCTCTTTCCTTTCAGTTTCCTCTTTGTTTCACTCCTATCAATATTTGCTTTATTCATTTTATTTCTTAATAGCTGTTTAAAATTTTCTACCTTTCTGCCTCTCCCCATTCCCTTGTTAATTAACCTAATGTTTTTTATTAGCATCTGTGAGATCCCAAAGGGAAAGCTGAGACAGTCAATTGGCTGAGGCTTCTGGAACTGTCCCTAGATTTTATAGCAGTGAGGTTATATGGAGTACCCATGTGAAAGGGGCCCTTTAACCACAACATTTACCATGATGTGGGTAATAGGCATATTCAGTGAGTGAACTTCCTAGTCATCACAGAGCCAGTCCTACATGGCTTGTATACAAGCATCAGCTGCTTCATCTGTGGTGCTCTACTTGGCATTCATAGCGGGAGACAGACAGCCCCTCTTTTCAGGGTAAACTTTTTCAAATGAGGAATTATTTGCCCCCTTCCCATTAATTCCATTAAAAATGTGAGATGTTATCAAAATCGTTTAGAACTAACTCTTTAGATAAGTTCCCGGGAGGCCATTTGTATTTGTCTCTTTCCTCCCTCACCTATCTCTACTTCCTCTCCTAGTCACATGTAGCAAGGGTTGATCTATAAGTGAGCTCTGCATGCATTGTCAAGGGGCAGTGACAAAGCTGTGGGCTGAAAATAGGACAAAGAAGGAGAAAGCGTGCAAAAGGCAGAAGAGGAGAGGGGGGAGTCTTACGTGGAGAAGGCATTGTTCTGTTTCTCACATCGGATCCCTTTGCAGTTGTTTGGCTCATCGATTGCTCTGGTCTCGTAATAAAAGTAAAGCTGGTTCAATCCATTGGCAAAAGCCAGCAGTACCAGGCAGTAGATAAAGAGGAATTTGAGGATATCAAGCAACATGCGCCCCAAAGAGATCTGCAGAGGCCCTAAGTGGGAGTTGGCTGTGAACAGGGATATGAGACGCAACGAACTTAAAATGTTGGATATCGCGAAGAGAGCTTCTGCGATGAGAGTCGGGTGCCACATTTCCCATTCTTCCCTTGGACGAGAACCATTATACTGAAAGAAACAACGAGTGCACAAGATGAGAGGTACAGTGAGCATTTAGAAAACTTTCCCCTCTTTCCTCCCTTTTGCACCCAAATAAAGCCACTAGAACAGGCATCAAGCACTCATTTATACAAGAGGACCCTGTCCCCGTGATTGGCACTATGTCTTTTTTTCTCACCCTATCAATACATAATGCTAATAAATCTCTTCTTCCCACTCCCACCCAAATATATATTCAGCATGTATATGTAGAAAAATGAATTTCGGAGCAATCATCTGGAGCAACCACCTGTGGTTTATCAACAGACATTTTCTAGCTGTGAGTTTACCAGATTGTTGGGGAGTATCACTGAAACAGAGCCGCTGGTGTGCCCAAGGTAGTGAGGCCAAATTACTCTTTTCCCTAATGAGATTTCAAATCCGATTTACCCCCACCCCAATCCCTCATTTCATTCTGAGCACCATAGACAACAACTTGTAGTTACTGAAGGTCAAGGGATAGGTTCAGCCTCTTCAGTGTACTGTGTTCACCTTGACTTCCCTGCTGACTGCAGTTTGGGGCTGATTGAGCACCCTTAGAGGGTCATTACTCAGCGTTTTTCGCTGACACTGTTTTCTCCCATACTATTACAAATGGCATGTCAGCCTTCCAGGTAGTGAAGTTAGGGCTGTCCACATGGTGGTATCTGGATGTATTTTATTATTCCTTTGACAGCCCTGTAAGTCTGAATGTCCCTCTAGTGCAGATGAAGAACCAGAGGGTCAAAGTGAAAGAGCCAGTATTTCTGGGGTTGGCTGCCTATTTCTCAGTCTGTCCTAAACTTTCATCTCCTGGAACACTGGAGGTCTCCTTGTGGAAAGAGGGCTTCGTTGGGAAACCTGAGCTCCAATTTGGGTTTTGTCCCTGAAAACTGCCTCTCTCTCTCTCAATTTTACCATGGAATGAGGATAATATCTACTCCTACCCCTGCACATGTTTGTGATTATGTGCCCATATGTGAAAGTCTGTGTACTCCATAAGGGGAGATGTTATAGAAATACAAGAAATTGCTTTTTACCTTCCCCAAGAAAGAAGTAGATTTTGCCTGGAATTCAGTCTGAAGCATATTGCCTTGAGCTCTCATCTAAATATCACAATTTCTCAGGACTAAATGTAAACAACTTTCCTGAGAAAATGTTGCACCAGGGGCCAGATTATACTGTTAGCATTTCTAAAATGTGCTTCGGTTCCAACAACTGAGGAAACTGGTAGTGTTAAAATTGTTTGTGTATATCCAATATTCTTCACTGTCAGAGGAGTTTGGAGAAAACTTGCCACATTTGTGCTTCTGTTTCAGATAGACTCGAGGTGGCCAATTGGTTTTACATACTCTTGGCCAAATCTTGTATCTCTCCATTTTTCTTTCCAAAGAAAACATGTGCTACATCGTTGTGAGGGGTGGCTATTGCTATGCCTGTTTTAACAAGTGAAGGGACTGACATCCAGAGAGGCAGAGTGAGTTGCTTAAGATCAAACAGCACGTTGGTGGCAGAGCTTGGACTAAAACTCAGATCTCTAAACATTCAGCTTAGCAATATTTCTATTAAATGTTACTTCTATGATAGTTGTTACAACAGCACTTATGTTGGAGAGGCCTTTACAGGTTTTGAGGTCTGTGTGAGATGAAGACTCTTTGCTGATAACAAAACAGACCTATGTTTTAAAACTAGGCATTATTAGTTGAAGCATGCATAGCTCTTAATCTAGGGGTTTCTCTCCACAGCCACAACTGTAACCACAGGGAAGTCTGCTGCCCATGGAATGGTAAGTCTGGATTTACAGAACAATCAAAAGTGTGAAAGATGATTCTTGTGGCAAATCTATGCTTTACATATATATTTTTAGAGAAAGGTAATATAGAATAGGATAGCGGGGAATAAACTTGGAGTTTATTTAGCATAGAGGTCAGCAAACTTTTTATGTCAAGGGCCAGAGAGTACATATTTTTTGCTTTGTGGGCTACATGGTCCCTGTTGCAACTACTCAAATCTTTCCTTATAGAACTAACAGGCAATACGTATATAAATGGATGTGGCAATGGCCCAAATTTGGCCTGCAGACCATAATTTGCTGACCCATGATAGAACACAAGTGGTTTTCAAATTGTGTTCTTTGAAGTCTGAGGATTTAGTTGAAGTATCTGGTGGCCACTGTGGAAACCAAGGAGGAGGCCAGGAAGATTCATTCCTCAATCTAAATTCAGTTCTTTTAGCTCCTTAATATAGTGCATTCTGCCTAAGTTTTAACTTCAAGATGTGGTTCCATGGAAAAAAATGAAATGCTTGAAATCCATTGATCTAGGCCACTCTTATTTTTCAGAGGCAGTGTCTAAGGCTCAGAGAAGTAGAAGGATGGCTTATGGTAATCTAGCTCATAAATGTCAGAATAGGGATTAAATTTAGGTCTCCTGATTCTTGAGTTAGTGATATTGGGAGGCAGGTGATTTTTCTTATATTTTTTGAGCTGGAATGCAGCTTGAAAATTGGCCTTCATGCCTTTCAAAGAGGAGTGAATTGCATTCTGGCAACTCGAAAGCAACATCTGAAGAGGGTTGGCCAAAGGTGGGGACTCAATAGTAATAACGTTGGGGTGGGTTGTGTCTTCATCCTAGTACTGGCTGAAGAAAGGACCGCAGCTTAGTGGGGATCAAACTTCAGATTTAATCTGTACATATGGAGTAAGGTGGTGGTGGGGTAAATCTAGGTGGCGCTATCCTAGAAGACAAAAGGACAATTATTCTCCATTTGTGGGGTTATCCTGGGGGTACTGAGGGCCAATCTTATGAGCGTTTGTTCCTTTTGATGTGTGCCTTTTCCTTCCTGTTGCTATAGGTCACGTAAAGTGGAGAATATACACTGTTGACTAGTTTTTCACTAATAAAAGATCTTCTTAAGGCCAGCTTATGCCACATGCCTCTGTCTTGCCTAAGTACAATGGTGATCCAAAATTTTTCAAGGGGCCTGGGGGCCAGCTCTGTGTCTTTACCTCATAGAGGTTGGCTGAGCCTACTTGGAGGAGTTCATTTCAGACTGGCGTGCCTCTGGGGAGAAGTGAACCAAACTGCCTAGTGACAATTTCTCATTGCAAGTCTAGTCTGCGTGCAGCAGTTTTGTAAATTCCCCCCCCCCTTTTTTGAGAAGGACTTCTTGGCAAATGTCTTTTTTGAGTTAAGTGTTTGTCAGTTGAGGGGCATTTACTCAGCTTACTAGAGCTGATTTATCCTTACATTCTGTAGGGGGAAGTGTCTAGTCCTTGGAAGCCTTGCCAGTGAAGTTGGGCAGGTTATGTGATTAACTAATGTTGGGCATCTGTTGACACATTTTCACATCCCCAAGGATTAATCTGGTCATTTATTCTAAACTTTCCTGTTTAAGCAAAACCCACCAATTTCTAGAATGATAATTTATTATCACTCCAGTATATAAATATCACTTCCAAATGAATAACTTTTTTTTTTTAAAGGCAAACAGTATTAGTCAGCAGAGTGCCAGGATGACATGGATTTCATCCAGGCACATTAACCAGAGTTTCAAACATTTTCCTTACCAGCTTTTTCTTGTAAGGAAGTTGTAAGTATGTGTTAAACGATCACCACAAGTATAAGCATACTCTCAGGCTTCTTTCAAAAATGTTTCATGACTGCATCCAGTATTCGTGCTCCATATAACTAACTGCCAAGGTCTTAAAATTCATGCAATGTGCATATCAGAGATATAAAAAGAAACTAAATTGTTGGCAAGTTGGGGGACAGCCATATTCCCATTTCTAAAACTCCTTAATGTGGGATTTAGTGCCAAAAAGCATGACTGACTAGACAGTCTTGGAGACTGAATTGTCAGCCTTTCCTCATGCTGGAGGAGTTCAATTCAGGGTAAAAGGGGCACAGCCATTCCATGACCTGATGAGCAGCAAACCTGACCCAGGAGCTTATGACTATGTGACTACCCAGTGTGAAGTATTGGACATAAAGTTACTTTTCAGGATAATTCAGGCTATACATTATGTAGGAAAAGCATCAAGGTGGTGTGTGTGTGTGTGTGTGTGTGTACTATTTAGATTGGTAGAGAGACATAGGTTGGGTGATAGTCAAAAAGCTGGATTCATAACAGCTTGATGACCATCCTGGTTGTGGAAGTGATGAGGGAGGAAGAGACAATTAAAGATCTATGTCTTCTGCAGTGAAGTTTCCAGGGTTCTGTTACCTGTCACATAAAGAACACTTGAGGGAAGTGTGAATATTCAGTTTTGAAAAGAGACAACTCAGTGGGTTAGTGAGAGATGACTTCATATCAGAAGCACTTTATGGAGAAGGAACAGCCTTGTTCTGTTTGACCCCACAGGGAAGAAGAATTACTAATGGATGTGTCACAGGGAGAATAATATTAGAAAAATACAAAGTAGCACTTTTTAATGAAGTGACATGAGTTGGGAGAGTTTTAGAAATTCAGTGAATTTCCTGTCTCTGCTCTATGCAAGCATCAGTGGGCCATCTTCTTGGCAAGGATATTGTAGGGAGGATTTAAACACTGACTGGATGTGTGGGTGGCTTGAAGACCCTTTTACTCTCAGAGTTTTAAAAGCTAAAAACTCATTTGCAAATTGCTCCATTTTCCACTTTAAAATTTTTTTTCACTTTTTATTTAAATAGAGATACTGGGGATTGAACCCAGGACCTCATGCATGCTAAGCACTGCACTCTACCACAGAGCTATATCCTCTCCCTTCCATTCTTCACTTTCTTTGGTTAAGTGGACTCTGCTTACAAACCATTGAAAGAACGTCTGTTTATTCTTTCCCACATGGATTCGATGGTCATTAGCACTTTTCCCCTAAACTCTTCATGCTCCCAGTGCTAAAGCTTAATGTAATCAAAATCATTATTTAATAAAAATGGTGAACATTCCAAGTTACCTTGACATAGGCCACAATCTTCAAGGAAATAGTTGCCAGGTAGAGTGAGTTCATTGCAAAATCCATCAGATTCCACCAATCATGGATGTATTCAGTAAATCCACCATCCCACATTTCCTTAATCTCCCCCCAAATGAAACCTGAAGAATGGAGACAAAAGGTTTATTTCTTCCCAGGCTCAGAATAGTCATCATAGTAAGACCCCCCCCACAAGGAAGAAAGATGAAATCAATAAATGAGTTGGACTCGGAGGGGTGAAGCCCCTAGAGACAGTAATCACTTCTTTCTTTCTATCTCACCTCCTTGTCTTGAACTCACCAAACCTGATAGGCTTTACCTAAAGATGCCTATAGGTTATATTTTTCTGGATACTGCTCACTTTTAACACTGTTACTATAGTTACTGGAATACTGTTGTAATTTAGGGAGCCTGATTCAACCCTCTTTCCATTTTAGAGTAAGGGTAATTTAAACAAGTTAATTAAGTCAATATTATCCCAAAGTCCTTAGTTTCTACTATGTGCTAGAGGGAAAAGTTCTCAATGAGTTTTGAGGTGAGCAAGCTGGCTGTGGTCCAAATTACTGGATGTTAGAACTGAAGCTAGGCAATGAGGCCCAGAATAATTTAGAATCCTCTTTTCTCCTTTTTCCACTGTGTGTGTGGATTTCATGGAATTCTGACTGATGACCTAGATGTTTCTTTAGCCTTGAAATGTGGAAAGAAGTACATGGCATGGCTGCAGTCTAAGTTAGTACATCTCAGATTTTAACATACATGTGAATCACCTGGGGATCATGTAAAAATGCAGATTCTGATTCCGTTGACCCAGGGTGAGACTGGAGATTCTGCATGTATAACAAGTTTCCAGGTGATACTGACGTTGCTGGTTTGGGGACCACAATTTGAGCAGCAAGGACTTGGAGGATGGCAGTGCATTGGAGGGTCCAGTGCCATCACATTAATCTTGGAGACTTCTGGTAAGGCTGTTTTTACCCTGAATGGTGTGAATTTCCCCAGTTCCCCTCCTGGTTGTGAAATCAGTATTCAAATAGGCTGTGGACCCGGAAGAAGCACTGGGATTGTGTGGAGTAACTGTGAGAAAGCAGCAGATCCAAGTCCTCTCCACCCAACCCCAGGGATGGGGACAAAGACCTTGATTGGACTGATCAGCACTTGTCCTGCCCAGCTTACCCGAGGCCTGTCCTTACCAACACTTAGCTTTCCCTCTAAACCAACTGACACACAACTTCCTTGTCCTTGACGATGTTAGGTTAGTAGAAACAAGCCCTGGGTGCACTGCCAATCTAGCTGTGAACCCTGCAATACTGAGTGACCAGTGCCTGGGGAGGAAGGAACCATATTTATGACACTCCTAACAAAGGACTACCCCATGCACAGAGGGAAGATGCCCTAGTTCAGGTCCAGTCCAATTGCCTATTCCAGCAGTTTCTTTAGACAGGACTGGCAGGAAGTCTGGCCATAGCTCGTGGTCCCTTTGACTCACCGAGAACCCAAGGCAATATCATCCACTCTACGACAGTGGGGGGAGGCCCCTGTACATGGAGGTCTGTCCTGACGATGTGCTGAGAAGCCAGGAGGAGCATGAAGAGGAAGGTCAGATACGATGCTGTGTGGCAGATAAACTTGATAAAGGGTTTCTTGATGAACAGCCCGAGGTTGCTCCTGGGTGAGATCAGATAAGCTATAGACAGCATGGGAAACAGGAACCCAATGGTCATGCAGGTCAGAAGCTTAACCACCCAGTGTTTCCGCCGCCATCCAGGGAAGCCGTCGTACCACAGAGTGGCCAGCAACTGTTGGCAATTGGGCTGGGCAACAAACTGGGAAAAGAAGAGAACAAGTCAGGTGTCTGTGAAGTCCAAGAGGAAGTCTCCATTCATAATAGGGCTCCTAGTTTACAGCCAGCTGTATGGCCAATCCCCAGAGGAGGTCTGAAGGCCAGGTTTCCATGAATGGGTCTAACCCCAGAGACAGCTCTGCATGCCAAGCCAGGTGACTCGATCTTCCTTAGGGTTGATTACTTGTTTCATACCTTAAACAAAAATCACTCTGGCTTGTGCTTTGGCATGCCCCCTCACCCCCCTCCCATCATGTGACAGATGGTTCCCCAAACCTGCCTCTGCATCATCCAGGGAACATTAAAAAAAAATCCTGATTCCCAGGTGACACCACAGACTGACTAAATGAGCCTCCCTGGGAAGTAGAGCCTGGGCAGCTGTTTTACAAAGTTCTCCTGGGAATTTACATGCCTCTTAGCAGAGAATCGTAGGGACGTTTCATTTCAAATTGATTCACTTTTACTCATTCCTCTAGCTTACATGAGGTCATCAACCAGTGTATACTTGGGGCAAACACAAACTGGCAGCGAATAAGCTCATGCCTGTGGCTGTGGTCTGGAATGGAAATGAAGTCCTTTTTGGATGTTTTCTTCTTTCCCTTCTGGTTCTGAGCATCTCTTGGTTGGCTACCAAAGGATCAGGTTGCTACCTTGCCACCTATTTAACACCCTCTCTAGTCTAGGCATGCAAAGAAGGAAAGACTATTTGGGGGCCAATATTATAAGATGGTATCTAACACAGCTGGGATTCTACTTAAAGGCGATCTACAAAGTGTCAGCGATTGATAGTTAAGTGATCACCAGCACTGCAAGTCACCCTCCAGCTGCTACTTCCTGGTAAGCCACTCAACAGGGAGCTCGACTGTCAGCCATGATTTTAAATATTGCCTCTATTTGATTACTCCAGCTTCCCATGGGAAAGGTTAAACAGCTGTACCATGTAGCTTCCTAGGACAAACGAAATGAAATTCTTCCATCATTTACCTAACACTCAAGGTAAACTAGCCCAATTTTACTGTCAGTGTATGTGAAGGTCACTAGCTTCCCACCAGAACCAATCTTTACTTCCTTGAGCACATGGCTGAACTACATCTCCCAGTCTCCCTTGCAGAGAGGTGTGGCCACATGACCAAGTTCTCAATAACTGAATGTGAGGAGAAGTGATGAGTGGCAACTCTAGGCCTGGCCTACATAAATCCCCCGTGTGTGCTCCTCCATGTTCTTTCCTCCCTCTGCCTGACTGGGATGTGGTAACTTGGGATGGCCTAGGGGCTTCTGTCTGTCCAAGTCTCTCAGTGACCATGTGGAGAACAACTGTCTTGCTGACCAAGAATACCTGTCTTGGACAGTGATGTGACTGAGATAATTCTATTGTGTTTGAGCCATTATCCATTTTGGGGTCTAGCCTACTCCAAAACAGTTTACTATTATGAAATGACAGGAAAAAAAAAGCTCTAAAGTCTTTTTATCATATGATCTCATTTCTCCAAAGATGTTCATGATCCTCCTTATGTCCTCACATCTCCTTTTCACACATTCACACACAAAAAGGCAAAATCCTATATAATCCCTTTCTACTCTTCATGGCATTATAGCCCATGGCAAAAGCTGGGATGAAAAGGTCTTAGAAAACAGTAAAGAAAAATAGAAGGGTAAAGCAAAATATTTAGATGCCATGGGGAATGCCCTGGAAGCACACAGTCTAGTGAGGGAGACAGATCTAGAAAAAGACAGTTATGAAACAGTATGGTAAGGGCATGGAAATGGATAGGAAAACAAGGCATAATGAGAGCACAAAGGTAGGGCAAATCTGGACTGCTCAGCAAAGGCTTCCTGGAAGAGGCAGTATCTGAGTGGAGCATCAAAGAATGTGTAGAAGCCAGCTAGATGTAGGGAAGGCGCAGGGAAGGGGCTAAACAACCAAAGCAGAGTGGGTGACATGACTAAAGGCATATAGATGTGAACAAGAGCATGGCTTGTATGAGGAGCTAGAGCAGTTCGAGGTGGCTGCAGCTTGAACTTCAAAGCTGAGAATGGCAAGAGATGAGGCTGGAGAGGTAGCAAGGGTTACAGATCAAAATGATAGTCTTTGGCCATTATAAATAGTATGACTCATTTTAAGAGCAATGGGAAGCCATCGATGATATGTTTATGTATGTGAGTGTGTGTTTGAGTGTGTGTGTGTGTTTAGAGCAGCAGAGTAGCTAAGCCAATAGGCACTTGAGCTAGATTGCATTGGTTTCTCTGTTCTTCAATGTCTTCATCCAAAGAATGGACTTAATAACAGCATCTACCATATAGGATTCATGTGAGGATTAAGATCAGCTACTCCATATGAAGCACTTAGAACTCTGTCTAGCACATAGTAAGGGCTCATTAAATCTTAGTTGCATATGTCGTTATGCATGTGACAGAATCAGATTTGGACATTCTGATTGAGTGGAAAATGGGTTGGGGGCAGAGAGTTGGCAAAACTAGAGGCAGGAAGACCAGTTGGAAAGTTGTTGTCAATCTTGTACAAAATGATTGTGACTTAACTAAGGTAATGGCAGTGGAAGCAAAGAGATATGCTCAGATTCAAAATGTGGTGAGGAGGTGGAATTGGCTGGATGTGGTGATGGACGGGAAGTGAAGAGGTGAGAGAGTAAAAGGGAGGGAGGCTTCTTTTTTGGGTGGATTGGTGAGCAGTAGTACCATTAACTGAGAGTGGGAAGATTGAAGCTGGAACAGGTTTATGGAGATGCAGGCACTTTTATACCTGCTGAGTTAGATTGTGGGGTAGCTAAATGGAGATATCCAGACTGAAGTACTGATGTTACACATCAGGGGCCAGCAAACTTTTTCTGTAAAGGGCTAGATAGTAAATATTTGGGACTTCGTAGACCGTATCGTCCCTGTTGCAATGACTCAACTCAGCTGTTTCAGCACAAACTCAGCAACAGATAGTATGTAAATGAACGGATGTAGCTGCTGCCAGAACGAGATATTTGGACCACTTTGCAATGGTCTTTATGATCTCCTAGGACTTCCCCTTGTGTATCCCCAATAACTCTGACCCAAGAAATTACTCTTCCCTAGAGCAAAATGCAGATGTGAAACTTCTTTTAACAGTGGATATGACCATCCAGCCTTTATTTTCAATGTCTCTGCTCTGATTTTTCTTTTGGCTTAAGATGCTCATTTTAAAGTTGGACAGGTTTTTATTTTCTATTTTTATATCTGACAAGAGTAGTATAGGGTGGTGTGCGTTCTGGCAGAACAAACTGCAATTAGAATATTATAAAACAAACGTGTCTTAAGCCACAGCGTATTATCTAATCCAAAAACATCTGTGACCTTTGAAAGCACACTCCTAACTCCTGCTTGAATATTGAAATTCAAATTTGTCAGGTTATTTAATCAGTCCCTAGTTGATTTCAAGAATGCCTCAGAGGGATTGCAGGAAAAAACAGCTGTGTGTATGTGTTGTATGCTCAATTGTGCTAAAGGCCAAACTGTAAAGAGCCTAAAGCATAGTTTTTAATTTTGATGAAGTCCATTTTATATTTTCTTTTGTTGCTTGTGCTGTTGCTGCCATATCTAAGAAACCATCATTCAGTCTAAGGTCACAAAGATTTATGTTTTTGTCTCTGAGTTTGATAGCTTTACCTCTTATAATTAGGTCTTTGAGCCATTTTGAATTAATTTTTGCATATTGTGTGAGGAAGGGTTCCAACTTCATTTATTTGCATGTAGATATTCACTTGTGCCAGCACCATTTTTTGGAAAGGCTACTATTTTCCTATTAAATAGTTTTGGCATCCTTGTTGAAAATCAACTCACCATAAATATAAGGGTTTATTTTTGGATTCTAAATTTGATTCCATTTGTCAATGTCTATCCTTATGCCAGTACCACACTGTCTTGATTCCAGTAGTTCTGTAGTAAGTTTTGAAATTGAAAAGCATGAATCTTCTAAATTCATTGTTCTTTTTCAAAATTGTTTCAGTTATTCTGCTTCCATTGCATTTCATACCAGTTTTATGATCTTCTTGTCAATTTATGCAAAAAACCGAACCTGAGTTTTTAATAGGGATTACATTGAACCTGTAGAACAATTTGGCGAGTTTTGCCATCTTAACAGTATTAAGTCTTCCAATTCATAAGCTTGCAATGTTTTTCCATTCTTAAGGTCTTCTTTAGTTTCGTTCAACAGTGTTTTATACTTTTCAGTGTTCGAGTCTTATACTTCTTTTGCTAAATTTATTCATTAATATTTTATTCTTTTTAATGCTTTTGTGAATGGAATTATTTTCTTAATTTCATTTTGGGGTTGTTCATCCCTAGTGTATAGAAACACAACTCATTTATTAGCCATAATAGTTTTTTGTTGATTCCTTATAATTTTCTATATACAAGAACATGTCATTAGTGAGTAAAGATGGCTTTACTTCCTCTCTACAAACTAGATGCTTTTTATTTCTTTTTCTTACCTAATTGATATGGCTAGAATCTCCAGTACAATGATGAATACAAGTGGTAAGGGTGGACATCCTTGTCTTTTTTCTTGATTTTAGGGGGAAAGTTTTCAGTCATTTTCCATTAAGTGTGGTATTAGCTATGGGTTGTTTATAGATGGATTTCATTAGGTTGAAGAAGTTCTACTACCAGTTTTCTGAGTGTTTTTTATGATGAAAGGGTGTTGGATTTTGTCAAATACTTTTTCTGTGTCAATTAGGATGATCATGTGTTTTTAACCCTTCCTTCTATTGTAATGTATTACATTGATTGATTTTATTATGTTGAACCACTCTTACATTCCAGCTATGAATTCATGGTGTATATATAATCTTTTTTTAAAAAATTGCTGTAATCAGATTGCTTTTTGTCAAGTTTGTTGTTTGCCTCAACTCTTATCCACTACCTCAGGCAGCCTTGATGTTAAGCAATTGCTGCTGATTTTTTCAACAAATACCCCTAGGGAAAGGTCTGTTGGTCC